AATATTCTTCAACTCCCGCCGTTCAGAACGGTGCGGGGCGGCTGCAGCGCATGCAGCACAGTTCTGGAACTGTTCCCGCACAGTTCCCCGCACAGTTCCAGCACAGTGCGAGAACTGTGCGGGAACAGTTCCAGAACATGGGAATCAGTATGAACCCAGCCTTACATACCACGTAATTTCTACTTTTGAGAGAGTGCACAACTCTCTGGTTTTCTCGGATCGAGATAGACTTCACCATTACTAGAGTGAACTCCCGGTATTTTCCACAAACTTCTTTTTGTTTTCCTGCTTCCTTTTCATAATTAGAACCTTGGACATGGAGAAACAATCTGAAAGAATGAACTCTGAAAGAAACAATCTGAAACAATCAGAAACATCAACAATCAAACATCTAACTTTTCACACACATCAGTAAAATAGGAAGTTTTGACTTACTGCAAGCGCAACAAAATGGGTGAAGCTCTTCATGGCCGTTACTAGCAAGATGGGCGTTCAGAGCCCATTTATAAAACTTTGAATTGCTGTCAGATCATCGCTTCAATAAGCATTATTTTAACGATACTTCCCGAAACATCACAAATAACCTATCTCAATAGTTCATCACGTTAACGTTCAATTGAGCAACATGCAAACAACATTTCTACTATGTGCAGTTTTTTAGATAAAGAAATGTTTCTTGCTTTAGTCTGTAAATCTTGATAAGCTCGGCTCCCTACTATATCTGCAAGGCTTTGAATGAATTGATAAAAAAATTTTTTCAATAGGTCTGCCCGACTTTTATCCAATAGGAAGACTTTTGCACGCAGTTGTCAAGCCAAATTTGACACCTTTACAGCATTTAATAAAAGTGCTCACTGTTCGTGTCAAAATTGCACATCGTATTGATTGAAACAGAGTATGAATACAAGTCTCTCTTTGTGCCGCACACTATTGAGTAGTGCAACAACGCAACTTAACATAGAAAATTGGAAAAACAGCAACGGCCATCACTTTTAAAATTCACACTGTCACAACTCGAGTTTACGTTAGAAATATGGTTGAATTGTTGTCCCGTATTTACGTAGACGTACATGCACAATGTCACTATGTCCCAATACACGCCCCTAGAACTTTTACACAAGGATATTTGCTAAAGGCCATCTCTATCTTGCGCGATAACAGAGATCATTGTCGTTTTTTGCAAATATAGAAGTGTAAAGAAAATGCATTTGCACTCCCAATCATAGCATTTACATCAAATCACCTACTGTAGTGCCTTACCCCAATTCTTGCAATCACTACTAAAGATTGAGTACAATCTACACCAAGGAATCTGGGTGAGCTATGAGTGAAGCAGAGTTTGTTCATGAATCTCGTTCGGCCCAATCGCAAAAGCTGCACAAAAGCTGGAATTTTTATTGTTTTCGGTATCATTTCAATTTCCAAACATCTAAATCTAATTAAGAGGTTTAAAGCTCTCCAGAAATGGATGTCAAATTGGTATTTCTATGCACTTTTTTGGTCCAAACTCGAAACTTTGGTCAAAGATTATGAAAAACACAGGTTTTAGGGGGGAAGTATTGTAAATCAAACAATGCGTAGATATTTCTTGGCAGTTGTTTTCTGAGAAACCCAACTTGATTTATGCGGATAGCAGACATCCTATAGTAGGTTAATCATGTGAAAAGCCAATAAGCAGAGAATGCTTGGTGCTATGAAAACAGTTAAAGCACTTCAAAGTAAGTTTTAGCAGAGTCACTACCATTTTTTAGTAAATCAGATAAAAAGTAGAGCAGAGCATGAGGTGGAGCACAATCTACTGAAGGCAGATGAGCCGATGTGGTAATTTTTATTTTGGAAAATTTGTTGGAAAAATATTCTGATGTAGCTACGCACAAAAACATCATGATAAATCAGCTTTCTGTCACATCTGGAATTTGCAAAACAAGTCAGCTACTTCAGAGAAAGTTCTGAGGTCGTCTCTTTTCGCGTCACTATTAGGTTGGCAACTACGTTGAGAAGGCAAGATTTTCCATAATTTTTTTCTTTTTCCAAGTACACTCTCGAATTTTACTTTTCTCACTCTCAATACAATACCGCTCACATATTTTCTTGAAAAGAAAAAAGACGCAAATCGAAGTGGACTTAATGATCGTCGCGAAAATCATGCGACCTTCGCGTAAGCTATGTGATGGTCGTCTAATTCATGTGACATCAGTCGCGATATCTCGCTTTAGACTGGACGGATCCTGAGTCCGAAACCAACCTTCGACTCAGCTCGGCGGAGGCATCTTTTGATAAAATGAAGTGGACGATGTCTTCGACCCGTTTTCACTTTTCCAAATTCTTGCGGAGTTCCTTTCACGAAGATGTAAAGCAGCGCCTACTCAATATAAAAGATTCCACTAAGTACTACTTGATAATACTGTTCTTGTGGATTATGGGGTAAAAAATAACCGAAGACTCCTTTTCAAAAGAGTGATCGTTAGTCAATTTTAGAAAAATCACACGTTTCCGAATTCTACCCGTCGCAACTTCCTTTGGCAAAAATGTTACTGAATCCGAAAAAAGCATTGTACTCACTTCATCAAGGAAAATCTTTCCATATACAGCACGTCCTTGACATGCCGATTTCATATCTCAAATCTCTCTACGGACGTCTATTCGCAAAGATGTAAAGCAACGCGCATTGCCCCTAGCTGACTTCAGCAAGGACCATTCCAAAGGAGATAGAAGGGATGGTGACTGTGGAAATTTTTTGTCGTCCCAAATCTATTCATCATAACTCTAGTATATGAAACTATCTTGCTAAGCAGATATGAGTTTCGTAATCAGCAGTCAGAACTTTAGGGGCAAGTTCTCAGAGAACTTTGGGTTAATTGATTTTTATTCTCGTTTCACGCTCTGAAGCTCGCCAGTGGCTTTTGGTCGAAACGTTGATGATCTTGGTTTGAAGGAAACTCCGCTCAATGAGATTTTCGCACACGCTGTATATGAAATTCGTGGTTTCTCTCAAGTACATGGCCTTTTTGCAAAAGGGAAGCCACTTCACTCAAGAAAGCCGTTGATCACGACGCCATAAATTTCAAACTTCAAAAGCAACTTAAAGTGGACCACTTGTCGAATGAATGCTTTGGAAAGAGGGAAGAACACAGTATCTACCGATTTACCGTTCATTGCGTTGATCCAGTCAAAGAATGTGTCTGAGAGCAAAGTGGTGGATTCTTTAGGAAGAAAGCAAAGAATTTGATTTTCGACAATTCGAAGAATTCGACAGCTAACCCTCGAATAAGGTTAAAAATCTATTGATAGGCCTTCAAAGGTTCGTAATATTTATTCATGTATTCATGTAACAATCAAGTAGTGCTTTTGCTAAGTCGTGCTAAATTTTATTTTTTTTTCAACTTCTAGCCGGAGAAAAATAGCAAGTGTGCATATGTACAGCTGATGCAACAAGTAATTCGTGAGCAAGTTGGTGGTTTGTAGGATTTTTTGAACGGAGGTCCCAATTTCGGCTTTTGAAAAATTTTGGATTTCTGTTTTTGATTTTTCGTGTATCAAACTTTATAAGTTTAACACTGTCTTATAAGGCTCGCTTTACTTCATCGAAAAATATGTTTACTACGTTTTTATAACTTTTCGCCGCTAATAAGGAACACACATTGATTTCGCATCAACCTAATATTTGATTTGTTTGCGTTTGGCCCAAATTTTCGTTTGCCAGTGGAATGTACGGAAAAATAGACATAGGAAGGTTGATTAGGGTAGACTAAAAGTAAATGTAGGAAGGTATTTGGAGTTTGTCTATTCTGATTTTCAAAACAAAATTCAGCAATTTCATTGAAAATGAAGCAAGATTTTGAATATTGAAATGAAAAAAGAACAAGGCAAGCGCAGTCAACATACAAACTAGCAAGTAAACACTTCTTCACGCTTGCCAATACAAGATTTCAGCAAGACGCTTGGCAATTTTTGTACTTCGCCCTTCACATATGCTCGGCAGTGGCGGGGTGGGGTGTATGCCCTTCTGAACCGCTTCGTCCTAGCGCTAATTACTCTGCCCGGGCGGCGCTAATTACTCCGCCTTTCATATAATCTATCAAAGTTTTCAAATATTTCTGAGCATTCCAAAGAAGCGAGGCATACGAATAATGATAGTGACGATGTTTGAATTATGAGGACAAAAGTTGGATAGGTTGCATGTTTTTTAGCCCTTTTCGTGATTTCTTCGCCCTATCCACTTTTCAAAACATCACGAAGCCTGCACGCGTAAGCTGAAGAATTTACCTAAGCCGCCCACGTATAACATTTTTGAGTCTCATGGGAAACTCATCTGGTTTAATTATTTTTATCATGAGAATGCCTTTGCAGTCCAATTCAGACGTCTCTAACGCAGCATAACTCTCGCTTGCCCAAGCGCCGCGGCAGCGCCGACCAATCAGAGGCGCGCAGTAATTAGGCTGCTAATGCTAGCGGTTCAGAAGAGCCGTCTCCCGCAGTGGCGTACTGAGGGGAGGAGCGGGGGGGGGCCTTCCACCCCGAGAACGGGTCGCAAAATTTTTGAAAGCTACTTATGTGAGTTATAAAAATGTGCAAGCGACTTGTTTATATTATTGAATAATCAATATAATGTTTAAGTATTTTAAAAAATTCGATTTAGCCTTGCAGAAATTTTTTTGACGCGCTGCCGCCAGCCCGTGAAAATTTCAGGAAGCATACCAAATAATTTTTGGAGGCGGGAGTAACGCCATGCACCTTCACCAAAAAAATTTTGCCCCCTCCCCCCTCCCCCTCCCCCTACCCTCCCTAAGAACGGAAATCCTGGTACCACACTGACTCAAGGTTGTGGAGAGAACCAAGAAATGCAAAGATATGTGAAAGCCGAAATTTTGTGAATGAGGCTGCTAACCTGCATGGCCAATCATATAACTTCAACGGGATTGCAATCAATGTGGTGTACATATAAAATGATTTGAGAATGTGTGGTCCGAATAAAGGACGATGCAGCACATGTGTCAATGTCATGTTTTCTTCAACAAAGCGGCTCTGGTACTGTTTCTCGCCTGGCATAAGATGACAAACCATTTGCGAAGTTTGGCGCGACCGCATCCTACCGACGAGTTGGACCTTGCAGTCTGGAAATCACTATGATTGAATCTATATCTCAAGACTCTGGAAATCGTATATGCATGCGACTTACAAGCGAAGGTCACGAAGAAATACGCGATTATTAAAATCTGCATACCATTAACAAAAGCTTGAGGCGATGACTTAAAACTGATTTCCGTGTCTGCCAAGCCCTTTGGGAAAGGTATGAGAATTTTTGAGGTGAAAAATTGAGTAAACAGCCGGGATGAAATCAATTGCTACATTCTCTCTAGGCCTCGGGCAGAGTTCACGCGATTTGATCGTGGCGATTGATCGCGACAAGACAATTGCAACAAAATCATTGCATGCCGATCTTCTTGCACTTTGGTTGTGATAGTTTTCCAACACGACCAACGACTAACTATCACAACCGAAATATATGAAGATCGGCATGCAATAAACTCACTTGTCTTGTAGCGATTGAATCGCGACGATAAAGTCGCGTAAACTCTATCTGAGGCCTTAGAGTTTAAATGAAGCAATGGCAAGCGTCAGGTACTTCGCACAATCAATTTCTTCTGCTTAGTACAGCACTTCCTATTTCTTCGTCTTGACGACTAGAATGTAGCAATCTTATCCCGGCCAATAATTCAGTTCTTACCCTGAAAAATGCTCATAACTTCTTTCCCAATCCAAGGTCAATCCAAAATGCAGATTCGGAGTCAGTGTTCTAAGATCTCGTTAATGGGCATGCAGCTTGTAGTGAGTGGCCACGACTTTGTGACCCTCCCTTGTTAGTAAGCGATAGTGGAGATTTTTTCGATATATGTAGACAAGGATTTTACAAGTTGAAAGGCGTAGCTTTGCTTCCTCCCCCTCCCCCCCTCTCCCCCAAGAACATTTCCTCGATCTCATGCTCATTAGGTCAATCTGTACAGATGCAGACCACAAAACTGAAAGTTTCAGTAACAAGCTTCAGGTATGCCCTAAGGCGCCCTACTCAAATTTCTGAACGCCAGAAGCATAACCAAGCATGATCGTAGAAGCCTAAAACCATAGCCGCACCACCAGCCGTACAAAGCCGTATTCAGTTCAGAAAGCGAACTTCTAGATATCGCCTATATTTTGCTGAAAAGTGGCAAATGCACCTGTGATTAAGGGACTAAAAGGTTAGCTATTTTGGAGGAATGTAATTGAGTAGAATAAAAATTGGCTATTTTGGAAGCATATGATAGAAGAAACAAAGTTTTATTTCCTACTCCCAAAGCTCACCTCTATAAAGACGCTGCCTTCTCGAAGTGTGACAAGTTTTCCACCGTACTCGTTCTTCCTAAGTGAATGATTGCCGCGCACATTAAATCCAAAAAAATACTTGGTAAATTTACCCCCAAGCATACAGAAGCCATCCTGGATTTACTGGCGGAGGACTGCTTTCAGTTGTGTTAACAATAAATTGCTGAGCCAATCCACCTGCTTTGATAGACAACATACAGCTCCACTGGAAAAGACTGATTGATGCAAAAGAGGTGAACAATGGCTGAGAAGTAGGATCAGTGAAGAAGCCTTTATGCTAGTAATGAACATACACGTAAGCTCGAGCTGTTTGTGAGATTCTTTATCCTAGACTTGAGCTGCATTTCCAAATTACGATCCATGTAATGTTCATAAATCTTGACCCATGGAAATTCCCAACATTTTTTGGAGCCGGCGTCGACCGAGGACAAGATCTAAAATTGGCTGCCGTTAAAAGAATTGCAAATCTGTGCAACTAACCACAAAGACTGCGCAAATTTTCATTAGCATTGCTAAGAATGGATTCTCTATTCTAAGAGTACCTTTATACTCCCAGTGAATCAATTTAGAAGCTTTCGAATAGTACACATGCATTCTATTGTTGAAGCTGATCTATGTTCACACTGCAACGTCAATAATAAAGTGTTATTTGCGAGCCTCTAGCGACCTTTCCAACAATGGCTGAAAATAACTACTGTCAAAACATGTCGGATTTATCCATATGCACTCAAAAAAACTCAACGAAGGCTGAATGCTTTACTTGAAACAGTCATCGATGCTGCACCTAACTTCGATAGCCTAGAGATAGGGCCTCAACATGACTGCACAACGTTAGTGTTTTGGATAGTATTCAGACAATGGACGGGGCTGAGCTGAAAGGTTGAGGTGGTGTATGCTCCTGGGGTGAGGGAACTTATCTACCCAAAGCACTTCAGCGTAGTTACAGAGGTCACGAGTCGTCAGCAACGCTAATTGGCACCTAATGATCGCAGTATGAGATCCAGTCTGTGCACAGAGCACCCTCCTCCTCATCCAGGAACACAGGAAACTGAATTTCGATGAAATTTCGAAGTTAAGGTTCAGTAGCGATATGTGTCCAATTGAAGTAAAAACTACTGTTTAGGGGTTTCAAAGCACGCTGCTTCCGAAGATGTTGGTGTCTGCTCAATACTTCCAAAATCAATCTTTTTTTAAATGAATTTTTACAATTTTACTGTAAATTTAAAACCCGGCGTGATGGAAACCCTTGAATCAGCTTTTCAAATTTACATTGGAGTCGTAAGAAACTTTGTTTTTCAAAAAAAAAATAAATTTTGGAAATATAGAGCACAAGCGTGAACAGCGTGCTTGAAAACCCTTAAATTCAAGTTTTTACTTCAACCAGGCCTATATCGCTACTGGACTTTGAGTTCGAAATTTCATTGAATTTTGGTTTCATGTGTTCCAGAATGAGGACGAGGGTGATGTGTGCAAAGACTGGATCACATACTGCGGTAATTAGGTTGGCTTTACGGGTGGTAATTAGGTTGGCTTTTGTAGACATGTCATGGTCAATTTTCGCAAGAATCATTAGAAGTAGCCTAAACAACCTGTACTATTGGTCTTTGGCCTTTTCCCTCATATCTGCTTTCATTCTCCCCTTTTGCACTTATTCTATGCACCATTTACATCTCACCCACCTTCGCAACAAAGAATGAAAGAGTGTTGTCGAATATCGTCTGCTCGATAGATTGGCATCCCATTTCAGACTGCACTTGCCTTTTTGACTAAGTAGGTTCGTGAAAAAAACATCAATTCAGAATTTTTCAATTTTCACTTTTTTTTACTGTAACACCAACGTACTAAATTACCGCAATTTGATTTGAATCTCTAAAAGTAGAGAAAACATTGAAAAAACAAACAATAAGACTGAGGACGCGGCGTAGATGTGCGTAGACGGCAAAATGTGAATCCAAAAAAGAAAATACGTTCCCAATTTTCTGAAAGTTTACAAGCATAAGCTTATGGACTAGCGTCAAGCAAAGTAACCATTTTCACGAAATTCGCGAACCGAATTTTGCGTCACCTGCGGGTTTTGCGAAATTTTCCCGCAACATCTTGAGCGTCTAGAACTGCAGACGTATCGAGCTACCATTTTCTGATTTTTCCATTTCTATTTTCAAACTAAATCACGATTTTTCTATAGCAAACATGCTGAGTCCAAGTGCTATTTTCAAAGGTCATGGTCACATCCCGCAATTTTATCATAACGCAAACGGGGGTACGATCTTCGGATAAAAACTCACGAAACCCGCAAATTTCGCATCCCCTTCATCTTCTTCTGGAAAGCTTTAGAAACTTTGGCAATTTCTTGAATTGCATTTGAGGATCAACGGATAAAAAAAGGACTTTCCTAACGACAACTTAGCCACCGCTTTCTCTTTATCCTTACAAAACCCTCTTACTGTTCTCTTTTATCTATTTTGGTTTTTTTAAATTTCGGGCCTAGCAATGCTAACGCAGAAGCAGAGTAAAACTTTGAGCTCTTAAGCAAGAAGGTTGTGAAGATCATCAAATAGGCAAAAGTTACGCTACAATCTAATTGTTCTTGCAGAAATGATTGACTTTGAATTCTGAAAATCTCTTATGATTTCTTCCCTAACTATTCAGCCTGGAGTCAAAAAGTGTGTTCTGACAACATGCACTGTGCCAAGTTACGCGTACTGCCCTGTTTGTCTGCGCACAACTAGTCCGCTTTGCGTTGCGAAAGTTGAAGTTGTCTCCTGATTCCTTCAAATTCCTTCAAATTTAAGAAAAGCTGATTTGTCTCAACTTTTGAGCAGTGATACTTCTTCTTGATGGCGTTGCGTTTCTATTGTGTTCAGATTCTTTTAGGGTTTAGGTCTTTAGGGCTTATGGTTGTTTTGGTTCTCCCACGGTTTGGTTCCGAGGCTTGATCTTCTTTGCACTTCTTTTTTCCTTCTTTTTCTTCTATTTTATTTTTCATCTCTCAATAGTCTTCTTTTTAGATTCTCGCTCTTGTCCATGCGGTTCACTATCTTTTTCGTATGACGGTTTCATGGCACGCGACTCTACCTGTCTCATGCTGATCCTTACTTTGGGCTGATTGTGGTCGAGGGATGCGGAACGAATGCTTTGTTGGACTGTAGTTTATGTTAGATCAGACTCTACCACTTCATTGGACCTTGGCTCAAATCATTGCCGTTCTCTGTTTGGTTTTCTTCTAACACTTTCATGCCTCACGCGTTAGTTTGGGTCTAGTTCCGTCTTATCACCTCAGTTATGCTTGGGCTAGCTTGTTTGGGCTTGACACTTTTGCATTGTGCAACTTCTATCGGAGTTCTGTTCTCTCCCCAGAGTTTTAGTTGGGCGGGTTTTATCAATATTACTACCAATACACCTGCTTCCAACATATACAATTGCTTATGTTGAGTAAGAGCATTTTTTGCTAAGAGCAGGGGGCATGAGACAGACTCCATTGAACCTCTATACCTGTGATGACTTCATATATGTCTAAACAAGCTCACCCCTTTCCATTCCCAGAAAGGTTTTGCGGACTGGACTTGAACTGATTCAGTGGGGAGTTCGCCTTTTTGTTTTTTTTTTGTTGTTGTTGGTTGTTTGGTGTGATGCTTCTTCTTTTGTTGTATGGGCGCGCCTTGTGCGTATTAAATAAATAAATAAATAAGTTCAAGATTTGCTCGTCTTGATTTTCAATTTTTTTTTATCGTGAAATTGTCTGGCAAATTCAAATTGTTTTCTGTTCTTTGCAAGAGATTTCGGTGTTCTGCAGTGGAGATCAAGCATGGAAGCTGTGGCCTCGCTCTTTGGCTGAGCACCTTCCCGCAAAAGTTCTGTTTTCTCCACAGTTTTCGCGGGATTTGGTAGAAATCTTGATTCCGAAAGGCTTGAAATTACTAAGAATGTATTTGCTTGTGAAATGAAGACTTAGCGTGCAAGTTATTATAGTTAGGTTTGTTAAGGATTTGATTGATTTATTTATAATTGAGCATTGAAAGAAAGAACTGTAACAGATCATTGTAATTTGGTTGAGATAGTAGAATTTTGTGTCTACCTGCAAAATCTGTTTCTTAAAGGCAGTGTCTCACCAAAGCTGAGGTCGCGCGGTTCACGTATTCTATTATAGGGACTCCTGAATAGGTCATTGCAACAAGCTCCACTCAATTTGACCCCCTCCACGCTGAAAAAATTCGCTCAAAGTGGTACGCGGAGAGCGATTCGGTACGCGCGGACGACTCCTTCGGTCTCCCCCCTTAAGCGTTTGAACATGTCCCTCCACTTAACATGCACCTCCCCTCCGTTGCTGCCACAGAGGCTAAGGCTTAAGTTGGAAGGTACAACTCGTCCACGTTGCTTCCGCGGGGCTTCCAGAAAACGGGATTTTTGGAAATTTTTTGCGATTTCAAGCCCATACAGTGCTAGTCAAGGTCCGACAGGCTTGCAAAATGCAAAAATCTCGGCAACTAAATTTTGGTAACACTGCCTTCAAGGCTTTTCTAAAAAAAATGAAAACGCCTTTCAAATTATTTACAGTCCTAACCAACAAGCAAAGCAAGCATAAGCAAATACTAATGTAGTATCCCGCAACCCACTTACAGCGACTCGTGGGGTCGCTAATTAATAATATGCTCTCGTGCTAATTATGAGATCATGAGGATTGATATGAAGCTGCGAAAGGAATGAAACGTCCTAGGGAACAAGTGCGGACCATAAAAAGTCGGCTGTTCTCGGAATTTTCGGATAATCTTGGACTGAAATGGTTTCACATTTTTTTTATTTGTCAACTGCGTCTAATATATAAAAAAGCACCCGTTCAAAGGAACTGAAGAAAAAAGAAAAAAAAGGGGAATTTATGATTTCAGTCGTCTGAAGTTCCAACACATACCTCACCTCCGAAGTGCAGGAGCCATTGCTGCTTCGAACTTCAACAAGGAGTTTTGAAACTATTATGTAGGTTGTCCCAAAAGTAAAGTCCATTTTCGAGTAAATTGAGCTGTTTCTGTTTTCCTAACAGACTTAAGGTACCATTTGATAGAGCGAAGCAAGCTCTACAAAAAGGCAAAGGCTACCAAAGATCCACCTAAGTTCGTAACCAGGTAAAAATTGGGAGATCAAAAATCAAAAATTTTAAAATACCCTGAAAATCGGATCTCTTTCCAAAAAATTCCTACGGGCCTCCAACTTATCTTTATATAGAAGACACATAGTAGTTCCAAAAATGTATTTAGTGGATTTTCTCCGGTGCTCAAAATTGGGAAAAAAAGATGGTCCGAAAATGCCAAAATGCCACTTTTTCGGGATTTTCAGGTAAAACTCGATATTTCTCGATATATATAAGAGCACAAACAGGGGTAAGGTTTTGAAATTGTACTTAGTAAGGCTTTTAGCAAATGACATACAGTGACCGCCAAAAAGTTCCGGACAAGTCACCGTCCTTCCTTCATCGCTCGCTTTCAGATGGGAAACAAATGAAAAAATGATTAGATTGTATTTGGTGATAGAGCTCATCAAGAGCTACAACACACACTTTGAGCTTTCTGGAAAACCTGTACTATAAAAATCTTAAAAAGCTT